CACTGGCACTCCTTTCAGTTTTGGCTGGCAAATTCTATTTCCATCACTTGCTGAAATTATGAAAATTACACAGTCAAGCATTAAAAGAATGTTACCTTTGTGAACACCAGTCAATAATCTTGGTTGCTTTGTAACCTGAGCACTACTCGGAGATGACCTTTTAACTTTTGCTGAAGTTTTCCTCTTGGAAGAACCTGATTAAAATGAAAAATTTATTTTCAACTATTAAAAACTGTTATTATATAAAAACCAATGAAATATCAGGTGAACTTTCATGCAAAAACATGTTATCTTCACACGTGAAAAGATCACCATTGCTATGGTTACCTAGTTAATGGTGCCTTTCACAGCAAAAGTGAAATGGGTTGATATTTCATTGATGTTGATAGAGCAAACTGATGTAAATAGAGCATTACATGGCCACTTGGAGATGCAAAATTTCTCTTCTCGTGTTGAAAATTATTTCACTCACTCACTGAGCTCACTCGTGAAATATTATTCAACACTCGAAGAGAAATTTTGTATCTCCCTGTGGCCATGGAATATCCTCTACTTATTATTTAATACATTTGCACATGTGACTAATTGACTCCAAAAATTTAGTCTTGTCGTGCACAACAGGTTTGGTCCCAAAATTATTCAATTAAGAGGCCACTCAATTGGTTGTTAAAGGAAAACAGTGAAACAAATTAAAGTGAAAGTTCAATAATTTTATTAACCACAGTCACCCTAGGCTCCATGGTTAACAAGGTAAACCAGGTAGTGACAAAAGGCAACAGAAAATAATTTATTTCATCCAAAGCCATCAAGTACAGCATACTCGTATCAGTCAGAATCAAGGAATTGAGTCTCTCAAACTTTCACGTGTTTCTATTAAACTATTACATCATGAGCTCAAGATTTCTATTGCATGATAGTTGACGAGGCCACAGCTCGAGTCAACTATCATGCATACAAATCAAGAGCGAAAAATCTAATTGTTTTAGTATAAATCTAAGAGTCGTTCAAAACTTTCATCTAAATCCTCTTCACAGACACTTTGAAAACACAAAGAAGCAGCCCCAAGTGCACACTGCTACGCTACTCATTATCTATCACAGATTAGTAGAATTCTACTAGTATACTAATGCAAATGCTGCAATCTGATTGGCTAAACTA